TTTTTTTTTTTTTTTTTTTTCTTTCGGCTACCGCCCTGCGAAGTCAACACTAAGGCGGGAGTAGTCTCTTGATAAAATCGTGACAGAAGGAAAGTGGGTTGTGAAAATTTCTTCAGCTCGTTCTAAAATTAGCATTATAATGCCTCTGTTCAGTGAAGTTTCAATGCACCTGCACTCGTCGTTATCAGTCGTTTCCACTCGATGAAAAATTGTCGTTTGAATTTCCCGACAACCTCGCGAAGTATACCCAAAATTTCAAAAATTTCTTGTAACCGAAATGTCTTACAGGAATTTTCGGTTGAATGGTTCGCATTTTGGATATTCGGCAATATTCGAAATTTTCCGGAAACTTCCAAGGAAGTTTTCGCACCATCTGTCTCTCTTTCAAAGTTTCAGAATTTTTGGTTAAATGGATAGTGCCAATCGTCATCAGTGTCCTTACCGGTCATGATTGAGATGACGACGGGGAGGAAGAAACGACTATATTCATATTAATTTTGCTATAACTCATTTGAAACTGTGTCTTGTGTCTTCTTGATTCGTCTTGTATGTCTTCTTCCCAAATGCTTCTTCTCTCTAGGCGTACACTACAGGAAATAAGAAATGGTTCACGGGCGCTGATGGATACAAGTGGCTCAGAGAGGATCTGCGCATGCTTAAGAATGTACGTACAGTTTATTGGTGGAATGTATATGTGGGTTAAGTTTGTTGTGGGCTCTTACTGAGAACCCGGGTTTTCCTCCCTCCACAAAACCCAACATCTCCAAATTCCAATTGACCAGGATAGAGAACCCGCATGAAAAGGCTGATGTGGCTTCCTCTATAATTATTGCAATTTTTTATATCCATATGAAGTTGATTGCATACTCTACCTGACTGAAACCAAAGTGTCCATGCCCAAAACTCATTGAAAGACTAGCTCAAATAAAATCAAAGCCTTCTAAGCTTATCAATATTGTTTCGATGCATGGATATGCAACATATTTCTAGTATACATATCAGTTGACTTACCCATTCATTTATTTATTTTGGTTATTCAATTTTTAAGTGGAATCAAAATTTGTGAAATATACTGATTATTGTCATAATCTTCTGGTATTTTCGCGGTAAACTTTTCCGGACCGATGAATGTTTCCTGCAATAACGTGAATAATAATCTTGTCGAGTTCAAATGGCAAAACATAATTTCCTCAGTCCCTTTCATACGCTCCGAGAGGTAATTAGTAAACGAGCTTAAGGGGCTCTAGTTTCAGGGTTATCAATCCGTTTGCTTGACATTTGCCCAGATACTAATTAAGTTGTGATTTCCTTGCAGATTGAATATGTGGCAGAGCCCAGTCAATTAGAATTTCTCCGTTTGCTGAGTGACCGAGCCAGGCAGAGAATTAAGTACAACTGCAAAGACTCGGTGGCCTGGGGTGATAAGAACAACGGGTTATCCAAGTCCATTAAAATCAAGGCTGACAATGGAGTTGAAATGCACGCGAAGTCTTCAAACAAATTTAAACCCAAGCTCATCCTAGATGGGTGTTCGGTGAGCTTATAATATTGAAATGATGTTATGTCATATTATGAGCATTTGATATGAATGGGGAAAAAAAAAGAAAAACTCAGTGCAAAATAGTATTTTCGTCCAGGTAAAAAGAGGTATGTCTAGGATAAGGACGGTCAAAATAATCAAGCTTAAGGTTATGAAGAACTTCATGTGTAATAATTACATCTCCGCTTGGTTAATTGCAGGTAAAGGATGGCAAATGGCATCACACTGTCTTAGAAGTGGACACGCCTAAGCCTTATCGCCTTCCCATCCTTGACATAGCAGCGTATGACATCGGAGACAGCGGCGAGGAGTTTGGAATAGAAATTGAACGTTTGTGCAGTCCCTGAACAAAGAACGTTTGCTTGAGACAGACACCGTTTCTTTTCCCTAGTGCTTCAACTGTCCTCAAAAATAAGATATAGTGCCGCCGTTAAAATGGGAAGTCCTGCTCGGGTTATTTTAGGAAAGACTATATAATAGAAAATATGGTAATTAAAGTATTGTGAAAGCTGTAAATGTGTTTTAACAGAACGTACCCCCGCTCAGTTTCCCCTTTCGCATGTTCTCTACATCTCATGTCATGTTAAACAGTTTTCTTCCATTATGATAATGATAACGATAACGATAATGATAATAATCGTATCTACAACAAAATTCTCGATCTTGATTGGTTCTACGCGCGCCTATTTGTCACGTAATCGGCAGGCGATCACGTGGGTGTCTAATTACTGATATCCAATAACAACATTTTGCACACCTGTAACTGGATACCTACGAAATTCGCACATCAAATTATGCGTGTTTTAATGGTTTTGATCGTAATTTCAAATCGACAACGCGCTTCGCGCTCTTCCAATTTTGCAATTACTCCCGAGATTACTCTCTGAATTGTACTGCACCTATAGGTCCAGTTACTAAAGCTAATACTAATGGTAATAGAGCGGTTTTCAATTGAGTGTCATAGAACCAAAACCAAACCAATTACTTACCAATTAGACTCCTCAGCCAAACTCAAAGCGTAGCAAAACCAAAACCAAAACCAAAGTAATTGTTTAATTACTTTCGACACTCGATTGAAAACCGCTCTAATAATACTAATGATAATGATGATGTTAACAACAATAAAAATCCACTGTACTGGAAATCTACAAATTGATACAAATTGTTGGATAAATTGCTTAAATAAACTGAAAAAGGAATCAAGTGTCTTTTAAATCAGCTATTTGGGAATAAAGTAAAGGCACAACTGCCTTTTTTGGTTCGTGCGTCATCATTTGGCTACTAAATTGTTTTGTGGCTCAACAGTCTGCAATACAGGTCGCATTGCCCTCCACAGAGCTGCCTGTTCCTCCATGCTGGGTTCAACTCTGGTTTCCATGGCAGGAAGCGGTTAGGGGTATCTACACTGTCCTAGATGGGATGGTACTCTGCCATAAAGTTGCATACCCCCCCCCCCCCACCCCGAGTCCCCTCCCTTCCAAGTCTTCAGCATTTTTGTCAGGTTGCTCAAATTTGCAAGAACTAAAAAGCGTTGTGTAAGCAAGGTGCTTCCCCCAAGAACCCAAGACAATGCAGCCGGCCAACAATCAATCAGGCTGTTTGACTAGTCGAACTAAGTTAGCGTCATACATAAACCACCGTGTCTACCAAGCTTAACCCGTGTAAGTGACACATGAGTAGACTATTCCAAGACACCATCTGCCCCTTTATTATACATACAAGTAAATATGATAAATTGTTTCATTGAAATCAACAGCAAGGAAACCTAATGAACTATCGGAAATTACACCTTAATCAACGGGCTGATCCAGAAAAGGTCCCAATAAATTTTGACTTGGAAATGCAACAGATCACTTTGTTACATCTCTTATATAAATCTGTTGCATCTGAACATCTGTAACAGTGGAAATGCTTAAATTCTCCCATATAGGACCTCCCTACAATCAGCCTCTCAATTCTAAGAATTACAATGTGTAGTTCCAGAAAACATCGATACTCCCCCTCCTCCCCCTGCCTCCCACAGAAGGGATTGGTATTTCCTGGGGGTGGGAGGTTCTGTAAGACCAAAAAGTCGTAATATATGTATGAAACTTGAGTGGAATTTCCAGAGGGTTGGGTGGTCTTAGAAAAAAATCCCTTCCAAGGGAGAGGCATGGATATTTTCTGGAACTACACATTTATTTTGATAAAAGTGCAGTGGAACTCTCAAACCCTTGATTTTTGGAACCTCCCAGTAACTCAAACGAAAGGTCATTTCCCTCATGTCAAGCACTATAATTTTATCCTGATTTCTTGAACTACCCGATTTTTAGACCAGTTTTCGTTTTCCGTTGGAGGTTCCAGAAATTGGGATTTCATTGTCCATCTGCATGACATTGTTCATGAACTTGGAAGGTTAAATTTTGATTGTACGAGCAAATATTGATACAATGATCGCTTTAAAAAGAACCTTTGAATATTAAATGGCTGGCTAAATGCAGGAATGTTTCTCAAATTACATCACTGGTACATCTACAACAGAGATGGTAATGGCAATGCTAACGGTACAAGTAAAGCAACTTATCTACAGTAACATCTAGCCTACTGCAATTATACCATACACATTCATGCTCACTTCAACTAATATGTTGATTGGTTTAAAATAAGTGCTATTTAACTTGCTAGCATAATCAGTGCAATTGAATATTCTTCCTTCATGCTTAAAAGTAAATATACATGTATGGACATGAACATCATGCACTAGTGTACACTAAGGCCATCTTTATTGGCCATCTACACATTTTAAATGGCAGGTTTAGAAAGGATCAAAAGGAAGGCATCCCATTTCATGTTTAAACTAGTTGAAAAATGCCCTTTTCCTTACAATATACTTTTTTGCACCTGTTACAGTTCAACTACTTCAGCCAAGGCTAACTGAGAAAATTATACACAGATTTATTGATTGAAATTACCTTGATGATTTTATTAACAGTAGACTTCTGGCAAATTAGCCAGCTGAATCACACTACTGTACAAAAACAAGACATTTGTCAACCATTTTTATAAAATATTCTTTAAATCACTCAGACACTACTGGTCCAGGTGTAGATCTACAACAAATGGCAACAAGTGCCAAATGTCCAAGCTTCCAGAGGGCTCCCCAAGAAAATGTTTTGGATTTTAACACCCTTAAGTCCCCTCTTAAAAAATCAAAACAAAAAAATCAAACTGATTTCTGTAAAATGGTTGAAACTGGTATGGATTCACAACTGGGTCAATTCACAAAGAATTTCTTCGGTGGCCTTGGTTGGAGTAGACACACTGTAAAATTGTGTCTGCCTGCCTCACTTGTGAGATTCAACTCAAAATATCCCATATAAATGTACTGATCATGTGTATAGAGTAGTGTGAATTTTTGCACAGTGCAAGCAGAAACCGCTTAAAGATACTACAGGGATTCTGTATATCTGTGTCGTCAGTATAGTTTCATTTCCCTGGTCAAATCTAATCAAGCAGGAGAAGAATTAAACTACCAGTACAATGTAGTGCAGAGATGTCTGTTAGTCCAGACTGCATAACATGCTACCATACAACAACTCCTGCAAGGTCAAAGATCAAAGTCAAGACCACTGTACATTGCCTGGCAGAGGCTGTCCAGGCATTACCACAGTAATACCAGGTGTCATGCTTGTGGTTGCAACAACACCTGTAGTGACGGGCACGGCAGCCACAGACACACCAGGCGGCAGCATTCCTGGTAGGAGAACCTTGTCTTTAGCCCCTAGACTCAACAAGGCATTGATGGTAGGGTCTGATGATACAGCAGCGCTAACAAGTGCTTGCGAATAACCAGGTATCATTTGACCTCCTTCTGCTTGCTGGTGGACTTGTTGCACAACCTCAGTCTGCCAAACAAACAACATTGTGATGAATACATTTGTAACTAATAATTAAGGGACTACATGTATGTCAAGAATATTTTAGGTCATTTTTTCCAATCTACATGTACCATGTAATGAACCCAAAATTAACAAGAATGGTTCTTACTGAAGAACATAAAGGATTACATCAACAGACTTGAAAAACATTCATTTGGTAATTTTTTCAAGATACAATGTCAGTGACAAAGCTGACCCCTACATGTATATTATTTCACATGGCACAACTTTATTGAAATGCTAAATGTACATGTACATTGTATACTAGTACAATACTTGTATATGGTGTACATGTACATGTATGTAGCCAACCATTTAAACACTATAATGTTATTGACCAAAAAAAAAAGCATCATTTCTAACCTGCAAGTGTTGAGGCATAAATGCTGTGTAAAGTGCTCTCACTGATGATTCCTCTTCAGGGTTTAGTGCTTCCTGGCGTTGAGGCAGGTTAACTGTGACATTAGTTGATGTTGTGGGAATCCCTTCATTAGAAAAATGCAATGGAACAAACTATTTCAGTAAATTTCTTATCCAGTTATACAAGCAGATCCATTCACTTATACTAAGGTTTGGTTCAAAGAATGATAAAAACATTTCTTTGTGTCATACAGGCAATATATTAACTTGTTTGTATGGTATGGTGTCTTTGTAGCTCTTTGATTACTGATAAATTATGTACATGTACAGGTAACAAGATACATTTTCATGTTAGTCAACATCATTTGGATCATGGGGACCAGAGAGCAGGCAGGAGTCTTGAATACAGTGATCACAGACCCCCTCCTATGTGCAGAACTACAGACATTGCTACAGTTGTTGCATGTACCTGAGGCTGGGGGTAATATCTGAGTCACTACAGCTTCAGGAACCTGCATTGTTCTGGACTGCTCAACAGTGGTGACCTGTGACTCCCCCTCCACATGCACACTTTCAGTGGGAAGACCTGGTCAAGAAAAACAAATTTAAATTCATTAATAAATTATGTTACTAGTAACTATGCAATTTTTAATTTCGTTTCGTTTCAAGCACTGTTTCGTTGTCTGAACTGTGCTCAACAATTTGATTACCGCGCGTCGGTCGTAGTCGGAAGTCACTGGGAGGAGCTGCCAAACATTTGATTGTTGATAGCGAAAAACGCATTTGTCGCTCGAGCTCTGAATTTTAGAGTCCACATGTTATTGAAAGGTGCAGTAACATTTTCAGCAGGAGGGCAACTGCAATCCCCGACAAAAGTAGTTGGGACACTTGAGCTGGATCACACGCACCAGTCTCCTGTATCCTCCCTAATCAATCAATGTTGGAAAATGTCTTGTTTTTTATTTATATATATATTAATTTATTTTTTTAGCAAAAAGGGAAAAAAATCACCTGATTATCAACATTGTAAATGGGGATGGGGGGAACTTGCTTGGTGTCCCAACTTTTTTGTTCGGGATTGTGGTTTTCACAAGGAGGCAAAACTTTCTGAACTGAACTTCTTTATAAGAAAACCTTTCTTTCCTCTGGATTGTCAAACCAGGCAAGCAAAATCATCCTCACAGCTGATCAATTTGCATGGTACCCAGCCCTTAAGGAAACCCCTGGTTCATGTTCCTGATTAGCTACATGTACCTGCAGCTTCATCTATACCAACCTTCCTCAGAGCGGTCATCTGGTGTGAGTTCACCTTGTAATGACACATTTCCCACCATGTCCACATCATCATCATGTACACCGGTGCTCTGTGAGCCTGAGTCTTTTGTTTGTTTGTTTGTGTAATATCTTTCAGATCTACGCTGCTTCTTCTTCAGCTCTTTGTGCTCAAGCTGAAGGGACACTTGTTGACTCTGCAGTTTGCTGAGGTCGGTTTGTAGCTCATTAATCTGACACACAACAAATCACAATGTCTCTAATTACTATTTTTCTGCTCTGGACACAGTTCAGATTCATTGGTTAAAGAAACAGACCAGATTTTTATATATATTATTAGATTTTTAAAAATCTGTGTAATTGAAGAGGATGAAGACCAACTCTTGACTGTTCAGGCTTTAAAACAACAACATTTCGGCTATTCAGCCTTCTTCAGGTTAAAATAAGCTTAACAGTAAAAAAAAGTTTGAAAAATAAAGTGACAATAATGGCTTCAACATACAAAATTGTTTGTTGTCCTGCTCCATTTTTAGAAATACCAGTTTTTATATCAACTTCCTCAGTGAGAAAAAATTTAATATGCCAAAGTGAATTTTTTACTAATTGATGACTCTTTAACGAAGACACCCTACCTCTGCTGTTGCGCTTAAAGCTCGTGCTTCATCTAGTTTTTGCATTATCTGCTCTTGTAATTCCTTGTTGTTTTGTAGCAGGCCGTCAATCTCATTTAGACGTTCTTCTCGTTTGAGTTTGTTTGCTTGAGACACCTGATTCTTCTTGGCCACTGTAAAAACAGCAATTACATGTACATGTTAACCAACAGAATATGCATGTACATATAGAAATTGTGGTTCCAGAAAATATCCATACATGTACTCCACAATGGAGGGAATTGGAAATTCTGGAGAGGTGGGGGTTAAAGACCAAGACCCAGAAATTGCCCGAGGGCAGGGCAGTGGACGATTGCTTTAGTTTCCAGATATCCTTCGATTCAATATGGATTCAAGTACTGATGTAGTGGCTGTGCAAAAATCATTCCTTACAAAAAAGGGTTTTGGTGTCTAAAAATAGGAAATTCCAGGGAGTTGGGGGTTTCATTTGAAATGACCTCCATGGTGATATCAAAGAAGATTCCCTACACCATGGCTCCTTTGCTAGTCCTCCTTCACTCACAACTTAAGGTTTCGTCTCTGGTTCTCTCTCATAACAATTTCTGTTTTAGCATAGTCAAATTGACATGACTTGGGCAGATTATAATTTCCTAACTGGCATCTCCTGCATTTATTTTGAAAATGCCAGGGAAGATGTAAAACCAGAGATAATCAGATAACTGTTTTAGAAGCCATAATCAGAAAATGGATGTGGAAATGATGTAAATTATCTTGTATTCTGGTGTGAAATAATGTCAGGGTTTAAAGAACTGGGCAGCAAACTCCAATGTAGAAAATTTCTAAGGATAGTTCCACGGGGGTCCCTCACTTCCTGCACACCTGTCCCCATCCAAGTTTTTGAAGCGTTTGTGCAATTACATTTTCCTAGCACTTTTTGTAAATTACAGTACTTGTCTGACCAACTAATGGAAAATAAAGGGACCACTGCTTGCAGGCCGGTTTGTCTTTGTTTACACACCCACTGCATGGGCAAGAACTGATAAATTAATAAGCTTAATATTAAGCTTTAAGCCCAGATTTAAAAATGTCTAAGCTCCACTTTTGTTAAATCACTTTTTAAACCCACCAAAATTAATCAGCTTAGGAGTTCGACTTTTTGTCAACCAAAAGAAACAGAGTAAGTTGATTTAAACATAAGTAAGCTAAACCTAAATTTCGAGAAACTGGTAGGTCACTATCTAAGTGTCATATTTCAAACAGGGCTCCAAATAATAATTAGCTTACAAATGTACACAGTAAATTTGAGGAAGGCAAACCAAATTTCACATCACTCATACAACACTCACCGTCCAGTTCCTCGTCTGATTCGGAGACAAACTTGGACCTGGAATGCCCATGGACAAACGTAAACCCACTGTCTCGCACAACTCGCCTTGCCATGGTAAACAACTCGTCTCGCCGAACAAGAAGGGTTGGATCGCGAAGGCAAAGCTGAGCCGCGGCTTCGTTGATCATTTGTTCGTGCGAATTGAGCGTGTTCGTCTTACGTTTTTTGATGTCTCGGCCATAAATTCGCGAGTGATCACGGATCAGCTGCTGACGTTCGGGATCGAGTTTTTCCCAGTCGATTATAACTTCCATTGGAGGTAGTTTCAGTTCCACGACGCGTTTCTCCGCGCCTCCTTGAGAACAGCCGGAGCTACTTCGTCTTTTACGGCCTGAACTTGTCGCTGGCGTTGAAGTGCTTGGCGGTGGAGTTCGGTTAACTTGAGGAGACGAAGTCCACTTATCCATCCAAGACCCTGGAGCAACTCGCTCGGGAGAATGCCCTCGCTTGCTCTTCCATTCCACCAAAGCTTTCTGCAGCCGCCTTGTGTGTAGAGGCTTCGTCGACATGCCGACCAAGGTGATGATTTCTTTGAATTCATCTTCGCTCGCATCACAGAACTGCTGTACGTCGTCGCCTCCTTGTTCGAGGAAACTTGGGTAGTAGTCTAACAGGTTAGCAGCTCTGAGCACAGAGTGAAGCTCTGCCTCTCTCTCCTTCTGTCCTGGAGTTGCCATTTTCGTCGCTACTTTCCCCACCCTACAAAGCGTGAAAACGGCAGTATGGCGGCGAAGCTCGAAGCAAGCAGGGCTGTGGGCTCCCCAGAAAAATCAACTTGCTGTCTTTTGATTGGCTCGGCGTTTGATATTTTGTCCACCCTACCCGCGTGAAAAAGTTCTCATTGGACGGTACAAGGGGTGATTGACAACTGGCAGGGTGTGGGATAAAAATAACATTTCCCTTGTGTCCCCATGTTTTATAAATTTGTTTATATCTCTTCGATTCTCTGCCTGTCCGTGAGTAACACGAATTTTCGACTTTTCCTCGTGTTCTTAGGCTCTCTGAGCGTCGAATTAGACACAACGCGTAGAATATTTGCTTTACCGATCGACCATCATCAGATCTAGCCAAATGGTCTGATTTTCAAGTGGTAAAATCCCTCCAAAACAAAAACCCACAGCTTCTTATTAATATTCCGGTGACAGACATCAATTACCACCACCCAGTCAGAAAATATTGCCGGAGTTGTGAATTGCAAATGACTTACTTATTAGCATTCTTCGCGTGTCTTAGGTCGTCTTAGGCCATCGATCTGTACTTTTGCGGCTGAAAACGACACAACCTGCGCTGGTATGGCTACGCAATCGTCAGACAATCTCACAAGATTTGCCCTCAGCGGACTTTCCAACATGTGCGGAGGGGCAGGTGAGATGTCTCTATTTCGTGATTATTTCCGGGCCACATGTGTTATGATTTTGAAATCAACAATGAAGGCATGAAGCTCCTGTTTACTGGCATGAAAGCGATCTTAAAATTCAGGAAATTGTGAGTAAATGTGTTGATTTAATGAAAGGTACGTTAGATGATCGTCTAAACGTTTGCGCGTAGCAAAGTCAGACAAGTCAGAGCGAAGTCAGAGAAAACCATTCATATTTGGCGACATTTCAGCACCGAAGGCCGAAGACTTCGGCGGAGTTCCGAGTGGGCGAGGAGAATGGGACGAGCAACTAAAAGGTGACTATTATGCCGGACCGACCGGTCACGTCAGAGGCCAATGGAAATACCCGAGGAAAATGGAACGACATCAAACATTTGACTTCCGACCGAAATTTCCGGAATCTTTGGCATAATGAAGGCACCCAAAGGCGCGATCCGTGTCAAATCGATCCTTTTGAATTGTTGTGGCTCACCAACGGTTTACGGCTTCGTCACACCCTCTATTACTCAACAGAAATTCGTATTGATATGGAGAAGCGGGGGACAAAAAGTGCGTTAGTTTAGTTCAAATTGAAATGTAATAGGTAGTCTCATATCGAGGTTTTAACAACCTTCTAAGCTACTTCTGTCATCGGTTGTAGACTGAATAACGGTCCATATTTCAGATGAGTTCCTTGGGCGAAACAACGTACTCCACCTCTCGACGTCTCGAGAGAAAATAAAGAATGCCGAAGACAAACATTATTAGGCTCGATTTGCGAGCCACTGTGCGGGTAAGGGAAAAGAACCCGCTTTCCCTAGAGAGGGGCGGAAATCGAGCCCACAGTACTCCTCAAGATAAGGGTACCGTTGCGCCATGTACCACCATGATAGTGGCCTGTGAACAGACCATAGAACTGCTATAGGGGGAGAAAGAAAAAATAAGAACGGAGCTATCCGCGTGTAGTCTATTGCAAAAGGACTAGGACTAGCGGAGCGAGCCGAGAGCGCTCTGGGGAGGAAGGAATGGCACGCTCGCCTCGCTTCAGTGGCCGAATTTTTGTTTCGCGCTCATCAGCTCGCTTCACTCGCCGAATGTTTTACACCCCCGCCGCGCCGGTGCCGGGAGCCTGTTCTCAGGCTGCTGGGAAGGAAGAAGGAAAGCAGAGTCACGGGTAATTCTCTTCTTTCCGTACTCCTCAATATGTCTGGTGGCGCGCAAATTGTACCACCGGGAATTTTGAAACCTTCGCCCTATTTGTGAACTAAATCAGCCTTTGATTAACTAGTTTTTCTAAAACAAAGAGCAATTTCTTTTTCTTTATTTTCAGTTACAAATCCTATTGATGTCATAAAGATTCGCATGCAGCTTGATAATGAACTTGGTTCAAAAATCAGCACTAAGAACATTTTCAAAGACCGTTATTACAAAGGATTTATAAGAGGTGCCATCAGAATCTTCTCAGAGGAAGGCTTCAGAGGCCTTTACAAAGGGTAAGTTGAAAGTGCCAATAATTAGTAAAGTTTAAGGAATTAGAAGACAGTTGAATGAGTTATCAAGCCTCAGTAAAAACCTAATTTAGTGCGCTCGTCTCCGGATTGAGCGGTCTGGGTTCGAGCCCTTGCCGGGGACATTTGTTGTGTTCTTGGGTAAGACGAATTACTCTCATAGTGCCTCTCTCCACCTTGGTGTTTACATGTATATGCGTTTGCACGTTCGCGATTTCTTTTGCGTCACGCAGAACGCACTAAGTAAACGTGGGACTGCTTGTAGTTAGCATCAACTGCATAAGGGAATCTTTCACGCAGTGTACGTTTACACTTGTTTTTTAGTCTTGTCCCTTCAATGATGAGAGAAGGTTCGTACAGTACTATTCGCCTTGGTGCATATGAGCCCATAAAATTTCAACTTGGCGCCACTGACATTGCTCACACTCCGCTGTGGAAAAAGATTGTTGCTGGAGCGACTTCAGGAACTATAGGCAGCGCCATTGCCACACCCACGGACCTGGTCAAGGTTCGTTTTCAAGCCGTGGGCCCTGGTCACGAGTCGGAATATCGACACACTTTTCATGCGTTTTGGACAATTGCCAGAAAGGAAGGTGTAAGAGGACTGTGGACAGGCGTTGGACCTACAGTTCAACGCGCAGCCATCTTAACAGCCGCACAGATTCCATCGTATGATCACACTAAGCACACACTTTTAAATGCTCAGCTGATGGAAGAAGGGCCAGCGCTGCATGGCGTCTCGTCTGTCATAGCTGGGTTTGTGACAGCTTGCAGTACATCACCGTTTGACGTGGTGAAAACGCGCATGATGAACCAGAAAAAAGATGTCAGTGGAAAACCGTTAGTTTACAGAAATACGATACACTGTATAGAAAAAATTGTAAGACATGAAGGAATACTGGGACTTTATAAGGGATTCATACCAAACTGGATGCGAATTGGACCTCACACGATTGTTACATTTTTTGTCTTTGAAAAACTCAGATATTTAGTCGGTATGAAACCAGTATAGAACTGTTTTTTTTATTGTTGTTGGAATTTCGAAACAGTTGATTATTTACTGGCATATATTTTTGTACTCTGTATCAGAAATTTTACTGTTGTGGACTATTTACTTAAACAAAATATGCAGGCATATTTGTTTGTATACTTGTGGACCGGTATTTTTGGCTTTACAAGTTTATTCGGAATTTACTTGGTGATTCTGAAACTTTCAGTAGGCCGTTAATTTATCCCTCGCTGGACAAATCAGTCATCACTATATATATTTTTTGTTGTTGTTTAACTTATTTATAATGATTAAATATACTATATTTAATATACTAAACCTTATAAATGTATTTTGTTCATATAAGGAAGGTGCGATGTTCTACAACTTTTTCATTGTATTTAATTAAGGTGCAAATTTTTTGTTATTCTTGAAAAACAACACAATAAAAACAAATTTTAAATGTTCGGCATTTGCTGTATTCTGTAGTTGTTGTATTTTGGAATCTCTACCAATTTCCTCTCGCGCGCACCTTCACGAAATTTGAACTATTAGCGACTCGATCAAGTTATTTGAACTTCGTGCGGAACTTCTTTTGGTAGCTTCAATGAACGATGCTTGTTCCGTGATACTGATGCTAGACCGGTTTATGACAACTTTATTTATAGTCAATGACTGTTGCTTTATTCAATTCCATTTCAAAATCTTTTTCATGTAATCTATCAAACATGAAAGACCGTGTTTGACCACATTTTCCAAACACCAAGGATCAGAGTTTATACGACGCGTAGCGGAGTATTTTTGACGAACTTCGAGATGTTTGGAAATTTGGTCAAACACTGTCTTGAGTGTTTGATATATCTTCTCAATGGAAACTAAAACTAAGGACAAAAGAGTGAAATAAAATCGTAACAATCTATGCTGATTAAGACCAGATATCCAAACACCGTCACGGTCATGATTCCTCTGTTTAAATTTGACGAATTATTAATGAGTTTGAGAAAGTTGTATCAAAAGCGACCCATCTTCAGAAGCAGGTTCATAAACATGATAGTGGAGGAAACCACATAGGATACAGGTTTCTTAGTGCAACTTGCTCAGTACTGAATCGGAAACGATGTACAACGTAAACCACTGTTCAAACCATCAAACCCCTAGTTCAGCTAAGTTGATGAGGGTTTTAGATAGCGTGCACGGCACTACGCCGGAGAAATTTGGAAATGCAGCTTTATTTCTACGGTTAAGTGTACCGTCCACACTAATCCATCACTAAAACGGAACTTTTCGAAAACGCTCTTCAAACGGGGGGAATTTGAAAAACGCTGGCTTTTCGTTTTCGTAAGGAGGGAAACATTTTGAAAACGGAGCTTTTCGAAAACGGTGGCGTCACAATAATCACGTGATTTCCCTGACCGAGTTTTTCTCAAACATAAATCCAAAGTGACCGGTGATAGTTGCGTTTTTAAATCCTTCCGGTGTAACGTGGACGGAAAACATTTGAGTGAAAGTGAAACCTCCATTTTCAAATTCCTCCGGCGTAGTGTGGAAGGTTTCTCAGAGTTCCCTCTGCGCGCGAAACAATTTAAACGGTAAACGTACTAAATAGATTTATCCAAGCCTAAAAGCGGAGCTCCTCGGCCGGGTTGTTCAAAGTCTGATTAAGCTAGCCGAGGATAAGGGAGAATTTTGATTTGAGTTTTTTTAACTTTGCTGTGAGGTTTTCCGTTCATATTGTTTGACCTTCTGAGTTTGAATGACCTCAAACTGCACAAAACATAAGCATCAAAACATTTTTATAAAAGAAAAATTTATATTTTGGGCAACTTTTGATCCTGGGTTAGCGTTGAGCGACTTCCGAACCGAATCCAGCCCTGACGAAAAACCAGTACTTGGACAGAAGTTAACTTTGAAAAACTGTGACCTCGTTAAGCCCGCAGTCAGATCACGTGATACTGGTCAGCGGATACCTTGTTTTGACAGGTGTCAATTGGAAATAACATAGATGTCCAATATCAAAGATGAACGCTGTAAACCAAGGGTGCTTACCATTAACAAAAACCATCCGGTTGGAAATTTCAGGCTTAAACATTAAGCAATTAAATGCGACGTTGCGGGAGAGGGAATCGCTATAAAGTATATCCACATCAACTAGAGAGACTTAAAAGAGCAGAACAATAGCATCACCCTAAATCACAGCCCATATTTTCTGAAGCTTCCCTAACGGAATGGCGCAAACTATTCGATTTTCCAACTGGAATTTCCGGTTTTCCCATGTAAATGATAAGTACCCCAAGTCTGCATATCTCGGTCAACCCTCCGGTCAACCTATTAGGTAGAGTATGGCCACCATGTTGCGCGACGTCGCCGTCGTCGTCGTGCGCACACGCCCACGAGTAATGCCGCTAGCCATTTTTACCACGAGGAAAGCGATTCACAGGTCCCTATGAGTATAGGACTCCGCTTGGCGGTTCGGGCCGCCAGAGCTCCGATATCAAGCGCGGAAAGCATAATCTTTAGCAATGACGCCCGGGAAAGGTCGCGCATGTCAAATCAGAACGAATTTCGCAGTAGGATTTTGCAGCTACCGTAAAAATAACTTAAAGCTGCATCTTCATGCTGTATGCAGGAATTTAGGCGGATTCGAATCAATATACTCATACAAATCCCAAAAGAGGTTACATTGGAATAGAGTATGTGACTAAGCCTTTATTTAAGCTACGAAAAAGCGAAACAATATTAGTTAACTGTTTGCCCCAAGTGAATACTATTAACTAAGTTCAGAAAATAAGTTAAAACGTATATTACACGTTCACGAATTTTGCTCGATAAACAAAAAAAGAAAAAGAAAAAAGACGAAGCATAGTATAAGAGAGAAACTAGTAAAAGCAAACAGGTCCAATTTCAAGTCCAAACTCCTCTTTTTCATCTCCGATGTCGTAAGCAGCTACATCAAGAACTGGAAGACGATTAGGTTTGGACGTGTCAACTTGGATGATTGTATAGAGCCATGTGCCATTTTTAACCTAAAAATAAACGCAGACAGTAAATAACAAGTAACTGGTGCTGCTGTAAAGGTCGTCATAAAATATGTAAAGACTTTTTATTTGTCGTTGAGTAAGATGTAAATTTTCATGTTTGAAATTTGAAGCAAAACAAAGAATGATCAAAGGAGCTCGGTCACGTTTTTTTAGTTATTTTAGCCAAATACAAAATTAACTTTAAAGTGAAGAAAACCTGAAAATAGTAGTTTACTAAGATAGAAAAACACCAAAGAAATAATAACACATCATAAAGGAACAAGGATGATTAAGGACGGAGAAGTACAAACGACGAACTTGAAAAATTTAGGCTAAACTTTTTAAGATGCACAAACCGTACCGTAGTTCCATTAACGTATGCAACATTATTCCAATTTTTGACCCAGGAAAAAAAGAATACTTGTCACAAAAAAGTGAAGAATAAAGGAAAACTTAGTGACGGAACAGATGGCAAAATAAGTTCTTGAGCTTTTTTTCTACCTGCCACGTTGGGCTTCCCAAAGATTTAACAGAGCTGTAAATTGTTGGGTGTAGCCTGGCCTGTGAGACATCCGAGTTTACGGCTCTTTTTTTAAATTTACCCGTATTTTCGACGGCCTAAGCAACCGGCTTAAATTCGTCTGCTAAGTAAAGGTCATGAAACAACAGGCTAAAACGCGTCTGAAAAGCAAAGGTCATTTCTTCTTACTCGACAATTGTCCGTGAGGACGTTGGGCTTGAACTTGTTTGACGAGCTAGAGTCAATGATCACTCCATTACTGGTCTTGATTCTTATGGACTTGGTGACGTCATTAAGCTGTTCATCATACCAAGCGACGGAGTCTCTGCAGTGGTAAGTGATGTTCTGACGTGCGCGGTCGCTCAGCAGACGGAGGAACGAGAGCTGACTAGAAAATTTCACGTACTTAATCTGGAAAGAACGAAATAAGAAACTATTGATTAGTTTTTGCCCTTCGAGAACACTTATTATTAGAACGAATTACGCGGCCTGAGGTGGGGTGAGTGTGTACTTTAAGGAGATTTTGCGACTCCTGTAAACTTAATCCCACATTGTTGTCTAAACAGGCCAATTCCGATATGCTAAAATTCTAACTTGGCTCCGAGGCTTAGGGGAATAAAACAAAAGAAATCACATCGAGGATGAGGGATGAACAATTAATTTCTTTTTTTTTCCTAAGCCTCGGAGCCAAGTTAGAATTTTAATACATCGAAATTGGTCTATTCCGCTCGGAATATCTCAGATTATTTCAGAATAGCACATCGAATGAAATAATATTAAAACAAATGTATTACAGTTCTGTACGTTGAGATGAGGAACAAAGACAAGGGGAACTCTGCGTCTAATAAATTGCGGAAAGTAATCTCTTTTTCGGAGGAGCCAGTGCGCTTATTTTGTGAAGTTTGCAAATGTTGGCGTCTTCACCTTCTGAAACATTCCGAGATCTTCGCCGAGCCATTTATAAACGTCTGGTCCTGAATACCACTTCTTCCTTTTGGATGCAAATGGCTGCAAAAACAAAATACAAAGAAAATATTACAAGATGAGGGAAATGCGCTTTCATTTCGTAAAATTGTTCTTTAAATTTTCGCTGAGTTCCACCCTCTCCAACTCTCTTCAAAACGCAGGGGATTGGGAACGAGGTTGAAGCAGGGAAAGATGCCCAGGTCACTCTCATTTCAATCTTTCCGTGGCTTCGTTTCCCTAGACAAGACATCTCCATCGCATCAATAACGTTTGTAAATACCTTATTTTCTTTGCTCGAGTACAAACAAGTGGCGTTGAAGGAGAAATCACAGTAAACTTTGATAGCGTCCTCCGTTATGCCCTCATTTGGATCAACCCAGAATTCACCTGTTGAAAAATTTTTTTGTCTGTCAAATGTTCATGTTGGCATAAATGTAACGCATTTGAGAAGACATGTTATTTCATTGAACCAACTTACGATGAGCCAAAAAACATTCTAGCCTCGTGACCTTTGTAAAAACAATTCATTCAGCTGTATGTTTACATGTAACAATTATTACGATTTGACTCGGGGAAATCAGACTAATTAAATCACTCCATTACATAATACACGGTGCAAAAAACAAACTTAATAAAGACATAAGGTAATTTCTGCACCTTTTTAATTGCACATATCCTAGAACTCCTCCGGTTGAACGGCGAAGGAGGCGAATAAATAAAAGACTACGAGTGAAGTAAATTACTTTGTATATACGGTATATCGCGGACTACGACATTTAACTCACCACTTTGTAGACCAGGGTAGCACATGAGAAGATCCTTACATGTTCTGGCTGGGAATTCTTTGGTCCCATTCGGTTTCTTGACAAGTTCAAGTTTGTAATGAAGCAAAGCTAAAGTGACTTTTACCTGAAGAACAACAAAACAGGAGCAGAGTTCGCAGCATAGTACAGATGTATGAGAAATGATGGGTCTACTTTGAAACAGTGGTGAATTCGAATTTCAGAGCTTTCAATCCCTCTCGAAAACAANAAGTGTCTTGCCCAAGAACACAACACAATGTCCCCAGCCAGGGCTGGAACCCGGACCGTTCGATTCCGGAGTCGAGGGCACTAACCATGAGGCTACCGCTCCTCTACTAAGCTCGTCCTAAACTGTCACGTGATTGTTCCGATTATACATAGGAGCTACACGTCACGGAAATCACATCTGGAGAAAAATTAATCAATTTTCGTTGTTACACAGCTCTATTAGTAAAGTGTCTAGACTTACCGCTTTACCGCCTGACCCTTGTCCGCCAATTTCTCCTGCAGGACCAGTATCACCCTAAACATGGAAATCAGAACGGTCAGACGTCAGTTCTGTGAGTACTTGTATCCGCAAAACACGTGGTTTTAATCTTTTCAATTTTTCAAAAGAACTAAGTTATTTACGGCAATTTATGACCCTGTGAAGAATTTCTAATACTCTACAAACTGTATGCTATACTGCGTTGTTTGAACCCTACATCATTTAACTAATTCTATTCACTCTAATCTGATGTAATTAAACATAATTGACTTCTCAGTGTATACGATGACGAAACGCAGGAAGATTATCTTACTCACGATGGAACCCTTTCCTCCAGTCGGCCCAGTCTCCCCAGTCTCTCCATCCATTCCCGCCGATCCTTTAGGACCCATGGACCCCATGTCGCCGCTATCGCCTTGGTAACCGATGTATCCAACGTTACCAGACCTCCCGTTTAGTCCTTTCTGTCCTGGTAATCCGGGAGCTCCTGGTGATCCGGGCGGACCGGCTGGGCCCTAATTGGGATAAATATGCAACACTTTAAAAAAAAAAAATCACTTCTTTCTGGCCATTCAGTGGTGGATCTAGAGGATTGTCTTAGAGCGCCCTTCAGATACACAACTCTACACTCCCCCCTTCCCAATTTTAAGGACGTCCAAATAATTGATAATATCTGAAACTGACGACAAAAAAATCATCATATCTCAAAGCAATCTTGTTGATTTAGGGACACATGAAGTTACAAACCAGGCGAAGGTTCCGTCCGCACTACGCCGGAGAAATCCGCTAAAACTACATCCTTATGATTTGATTACGGACAGCTTTAAAGACAGTGTGATGACGCCTGTATAGTACACAGGAACATGCCTAGCTTTGATGTCCGCTTTTTTTTGGTGTCGGATGGTGAAGACGGTCTACCGATCAAGCTTTCCAGAGTAAAATAAGATCGTACTCCAGAACTGGGCTTATTGCTTGGAAACGAAGTACAACGAAAACCTCAAGATATCCACCAGTGGCTTTATATGGAAACTATGAGTAAACATACCGTGTATCACTGAACAACTGACAGAGGAAATGCACTTACCTGATTACCTTCCGTACCCTCGACACCTTTAGACCCTGGAGAACCCTGAAATAAGGAGCACCTTTTGTTTGTTTTGGAGGCCCAAAGACTAATAATAGTTTGAATACTGGAGGCCATGGAAGGGAGGTGGAAGAAGCGTTAGAAAAGAGTAAATGGTGTACTCTGTCATATATTTATAAGCTTCCTTTCTTCGTTGGGGAGCTAAGAATTTTCTATAGCTAAAAGAGCAATTAATCTAGCTCCGAACTCTGTAAAACTGCAAGGGGCTGTTCAATTTTGGAATACTACAGACTAACTAAAGAAATTTAGAAATACAACGTGAATTAAAAGATAGGGCTGTATATAACGTAATTGTTATTTCCTGAAACCGTGGCCTCGGAGACTCACTCGTTGTGCTAGCTCTAGACACAACAACAACATTCCACAGGTTGATAGAAAATACGGCCTAAAAAGTGTTGGATAAGTTTGTTGGTTAACGACCGCTGTTTAGAGGCTAAAAGCAGTGAACCGGGAAAACTATCAAAAATGCTAGTGTTTTCCTTACCGGAGTACCAGTGTTTCCCGGTTTCCCAAGGAATCCACGAGGACCACGCTTTCCCTAAGAAATCAGATCGAACAAGATTATTAACACTGTCAAGCACTTTATATTATGCTAACCATACAAGCCCTAACCAAGTTATTCTGGGTCAACCCCTTGATAGAGCTGGAAAGAGAGAGTTCGTGGAATAGACTATTTATCTATTTGCGATATGACGGAAAAGAATGGCTTTTCTGCGATAGAAGAAGAAAGAAAATCTATGGGTCCAGCAGGTTACGGCGTGAACGATCGAGTGCCAATGTTTCCTTGCAGTGTCAAGACGTTATCAAGGGTAACATCTCACTAAATTATCAGGACAAAAAATTTAAAGAAACGTAATAATAATAAGCTTCGATAGTTTTTGTTTTGATCGTAGAACAGAAAACTTGCAGATGGCGTCAAAGAATTCCGTGTAGCTCTGGTGCCTCATCCGAGCTCAGCACTCCTCACAAGGCGGAATATATAAACTAAAATAATAATAATAATAATAATAATAACATTAACAATAACAATAACAATAATAATAATAATAATAATAATAGGTGAATAAATAAATAAATCGAAAGTTGTCCATTATCGCATTCATCAAGTATTATAGTTCGCTGATTCCATCACAACTTTGAATCATCAAACATCAATAGAAAAAATAATCAACTGACCGGTTTGCCATCGGTTCCTGGTGATCCATCTAATCCTTGCACGCCCTTGAGAACGGAGAAATCTAACGATTAGAACCGCGGGATNGAAGTTACAAACCAGGCGAAGGTTCCGTCCGCACTACGCCGGAGAAATCCGCTAAAACTACATCCTTATGATTTGATTACGGACAGCTTTAAAGACAGTGTGATGACGCCTGTATAGTACACAGGAACATGCCTAGCTTTGATGTCCGCTTTTTTTTGGTGTCGGATGGTGAAGACGGTCTACCGATCAAGCTTTCCAGAGTAAAATAAGATCGTACTCCAGAACTGGGCTTATTGCTTGGAAACGAAGTACAACGAAAACCTCAAGATACCTACCAGTGGTTTTACATGCAAATTATGTGCAAACATACCGCGTATCAGTGCACAATTGACAGACGAAATTATTGTAGTGGACATCTGGATGCACACTTGGTTGGCCATAACAGCCCACGTCATCTTCTGTTGTTTCAAAGTGTTAAAACAACAAAAGGAACAAATTTGACTCTTTAATTAACAAAATGTTGTACATCAAACATTTAAGACCACGTTTTTTGAATGTACAAACAGATTCGATCCGCGCTAAAGTCTTCGTCTAACTTAACTTCATTTATGCAAATCTACAGGTCTTGCCTCTTTTGAAGTAGTTCTCGCTTATTTATTCCTTGATAATGGCGCAATGAGGTCGCCGAAACGTCGGAACATTATATCGGTAGTTTTTACTTGCTTATGTATTTCAAAAGTATTATTCACTCTTTTTCTTTTGACAGAGGAAATTCACTTACCTGATTACCTTCCGTTCCCTCGACACCTTTAGACCCTGGAGAACCCTGAAATAAGGAGCACCTTTTGTTTGTTTTGGAGGCCCAAGACTAACAATAGTTTGAATACTGGAAGCCATGGGGGCGGAGGAAGGGGTAGAAAAGATGTGTCGGTTAAATNGGCCCAAAGACTAATAATAGTTTGAATACTGGAGGCCATGGAAGGGAGGTGGAAGAAGCGTTAGAAAAGAGTAAATGGTGTACTCTGTCATATATTTATAAGCTTCCTTTCTTCGTTGGGCAGCTAAGAATTTTCTTTAGCGATAAGAGTTATTTCTCTAGCTCCGAACTCTGTCAAACTGTAAAGCGCTGTTCAACTTTGGAATATTAAAAAATATTGAAAGAAATTTCGAAAGTACAACTTAAATTAAAACGATAGGGCTGTATATAGCATAATCATTATTTCCTGAAACCGTGACCTCGGAGACTCACTTTTTGTGCCCTAGACACAGCAAGAAAATTCCAAATGTGGAAAAGACAGAACAGCCTAAAAAGTGTTTGATAATTTTGTTGGTTAACTACCGCTGTTTAGAAGCTAAAAGCAGTGAACCGGGATAATTATTGTGTTTTCCTTACCGGAGTACCAGTGTTTCCCGGTTTCCCAAGGAATCCACGAGGACCACGTTTTCCCTAAGCAATAAGAACGAACAAGATCATCAATTGCCATGCACTTTATATCACGCTAACCATACAAGCCCTAACCAAGTTATCCCAGACTCTCCCTTCTCCCACCTGGGTTCAACCCTTCATAGTGCTGGAAAGAGAGAGTTCAGGGAATGGTAGGTAAAAAAAATATAAAAAGCTTAAGTCTGCATACCAGCCAAGTGGCCCATCAGGCCGGAGCTTATCCCGGTTTCTGTAGCATGAAGCGACTAGGAGTATTTCTNAATGGTAGGTAAAAAAAATATAAAAAGCTTAAGTCTGCATACCAGCCAAGTGGCCCATCAGGCCGGAGCTTATCCCGGTTTCTGTAGCATGAAGCGACTAGGAGTATTTCTACTCCTCCCCTGGATGAGATGCTAGTCCATCGCAGGGTTACCCCCAGCATTACCTTCGCCGGTACCCATTTATAAACCTGGGTGGAGAGAGGCACTATGAGAGTAAAGTGTCTTGCCCAAGAACACAGGACAATGACCCCGCCAAGGGCTTGAACCCCGACCGCTCGATCCGGAAACGAGCGCACTAACCATGAGGTCACCGTGCCTCCCACTTCAAGCAATGGACTATTTATTCATTTGCAAAAAGATGGAAATGAATGGCTTTTCCGCGATAGAAGAAGGAAGAAAATCTCTGGGTCCAGCAGGTTAAAGCTAGTACGATTGAGTGCGAATGTTTCCTTGCATCACATCTCAATAAATTATCAGGACAAAAATTTGAAGAAACGTAAAAATAATAAGCTTCGATAGTTAATGGTTTGATCGTAGAACAGAAACGTTACAGATGGCGTCAAAGAATACCGTGTAGCCCTGGTGCCTCATCCGAGCTCACACTCCACACAGGCCGGAATATATAAATTAAAATGCTAATAATAAATGAATAAATATAATAAATAAATAAATAAATAACACAACTTTGAATCATCAAACATTGGGACCACGATCACTAGAAAAAGTAATCAACTGACCGGTTTGCCATCAATTCCTGGTGATCCATCTAATCCTTGCACGCCCTTGAGAACGGAGAAATCTAACGATTAGAACCGCGGGATTTCAATGTATGCTCTTCCTAACGATCGCGCATTTTTTAATATCTTACATCATTCGGTGGGGTAATGCTCTTTTTTCCCATTCCAAGAAACAGCACCCTATTTAGAAGGGAACACGACGTGGCGTATCTCGTTTTTTGGTCTTTCCATGCCGACAAGACAAGAAATGATTAAATAATAACTGATCCCAGGAGCGCTTATAAAAGCAAACAAACAGCCAGTATTATAACATAATTACAGCATTTGCATTGACATCCTTTTTACCAATGATTTGTAGCGAGTCAATTCCAAATCGCTGGCGTCGTACGCCAAAATTGTTAATTTGTTTATTTAGGCATGTTTTCAAAATCGAAAGGTCGAAGTACATGGGTAATAAAAAATCCTTCTAACATTCAACGCTCACCGTTTCTCCTTCCTCGCCCCGGTCTCCCATCGAACCAATTGAACCTCGATAGCCACGAGGTCCTTTTAGGCCTGGGCGGCCATCTGCTCCAGAGTCACCAGACGGGCCCTAAGTACAAAGGTCAATCATTTAGCTGTGGGTACTTCTTTTCCCTCGGCAAGATTCCAATGCCTTTTCACTATATTTTGCGCTATGATTAAATTCTCTACAATATGATGGTAAAAAAAACAAAAAAACCTTGAAACTGCCCATTTATTTTAAAGTAACGTTGTCACGAAGATACCACGATGGATGGAAGCCGAGCGAAGAACTTAAAACACCATGCTAGGCTTCCAGTGCACATTGAGTCTTAGTACAGCTATCTCGGTGTCAAGTTTGTTTGTTTTCTTGTTTACTTTTTTCTGTCTGATTTTTATAAAACCGATTCTTTGGAAACACACCTTTTGTCCCTGCTTTCCGTGAGTGCCGGGATTTCCTCGTTTTCCTGGTTCCCCCTAAGAAAGTAGTAAATTGGAATTGAAATGCTAATTTGAATATAAACTACAAAACGTAAGTATAACATAAGCTTGCCATCAATTCACCTCCCAAAGGAAACTGATTTTGACAAAATTAAATTTTAAATTTTGAAAGAAAAAGAAAAGGATTGGAATATTGAAGAATTTTACATCATCAGTGAAAAAAGTTAAAACAGGTACATGTAATGAGAAGAGCCACCTAAAAAGAACCGTAACAATCCTGTTGAAAAAAGTTGTTGACAAACTAGAGGCCAACGACGAAAAGTAATACACAGACATAGACAAAGACATGATATATTTTACTTGGAAAACACAATTGGCTATGGTAACGGTGCGTCCCATAGACTTGATAAGCAGAGTCTACAGGACGCACCAGGTAGTTTATAGGTGCGCCAAGAAAACAAAATAACAAAGTAAAATTNCCGTTTCTCCTTCCTCGCCCCGGTCTCCCATCGAACCAATTGAACCTCGATAGCCACGAGGTCCTTTTAGGCCTGGGCGGCCATCTGCTCCAGAGTCACCAGACGGGCCCTAAGTACAAATGTCAATCATTTAGCTGTAGGTACTTCTCTTTCCTCGGCAAGATTCCAATGCTTTTCAACTGTATTTTGCGTTATGATTAAATTCTCTAAAATGTGATGGTAAAAAAAACACCTTGAAACTGCCCATTTATTTTAAAGTAACGTTGTCACGAAGATACCACGATGGATGGAAGCCGAGCGAAGAACTTAAAACACCATGATAGGCTTCCAGTGCACATTGAGTCTTAGCACAGCTATCTCGGTGTCAAGTTTGTTTGTTTTCTTGTTTAATTTTGTTCTGTTTGATTTTTGTAAAACCGATTCTTTGGAAACACACCTTTTGTCCCTGCTTTCCATGAGTGCCGGGATTTCCTCGTTTTCCTGGTTCCCCCTAAGAAAGTAGTAACTTGGAATTGAAATGCTGATTTCAATATAAACTACAAAACGTAAGTGTAACATAAGCTTGCCATCAATTCACCTCCCAAAGGATACTGATTTTGACAAAATCAAATTTAAAAGTATTGAAATATTGAAGAATTTTACATCATCAGTAAAAAAAGTTAAAACAAGTCCATGTAATGAGAAAAGCCACCTAAAACGAATCATAACAATCCTGTTGAAAAAAATGTTGACAAACTAGAGGCCAACGACGAAAACTAATACATAGACATAAACAAAGACATAGCATATTTTAGTTGGAAAACATACTTGGCTATGGTAACGGTGCGTCCCATAGACTTGAAAAGCAGAGTCTACAGGACGCACCAGGTAGTTTATAGGTGCGCCAAGAAAACAAAATAACAAAGTAAAATTCTATGTATAGAGAAATCTTTCTGTGACAAGATTGTTTATTGCATCTCATATACTTACAACCAAACCGCGCCTGCCAGGGTGACCGGGAAGGCCTAGGAAACCAGCGTTTCCCTATTAAAAATATATATATAAAATAAATAACGACAGGGCATTTTATAAATATCATATCAGAAATGAATCTTACTTTCTCAAACTCACTGATAATTCATCAAATTTAAACAAAGGAAATCTAGACCGTGACGGTGTTCGGATACCGATATGATCTTAATTAGCATAGATTTTTACGATTTTATTCCACCGTTTTCTCCTTAGTTTTAGTCTCAGTTGAAAAGATATATCAAACATTCAAAACAGTATTTGACCACATTTCCAAACACCTCGAAGTTCGTCAAAAATACTCCGCTACGCGTGGTATTTTCAACTCTCTTCTCGATGTTTGGAAATGTGGTCAAACGCGGTCATTCGTGTTTGATGTATTACATTTGGACAACACTATGCGTTTGATATACCCATCAACTAGTCTTTTTCTTAATCATTTGAAGCGAGTCGCAATTTTCTCGTCATATTTATGAATTTCAATTAAGAATCAAGCTGTTATAGTTTTTTAAAATAGGAAGGCATAAACAACTGTCTCTTTTTAAGATAACTCCCCCTCCCTCAGGCCCCCTCTCCCCCCCTCCCACCCCAACCAACCCCTCTAAAACCTCGGAAGGTGAGTTTAAGCCCCGGGGGTGAGGAAAAGGATTCCCAGTGCTGTAATTTAGGATATAGTCTTCTCTCGTTACTTACACGAGGTCCTCTTTTCCCAACTGCGCCTCTATTGCCAGGGATTCCAGGAAAACCCTGAGAAAAAAAACCGATAACTTGTTTACACTTACATAACGTAAAGTAAAAATGAGGACAAGTGTACAAGGGAAATTGTGAATGACACTGTGTTCTAATAGCTCCGATGAAAAATAGTCACTGTAAGAAAGGTACTAGAACGCCTTGGTATATGGATCGCCGTTTTAAGGGGGTTCTTCTTAACTGGCAATATGCCAGAAGACTTTTTTCTTAGCAACAGGATTGTAGTTAAGAAGCAGCAAATCGAACCACGACTTCCGAGAAAGGATAGTAGTTTCTTCTACTCCCTGTTCCTTTTGGCTGTAAGAAAGAGTTGCCTCCATCGCTAATTATTGGTTACCATGGTTACTAATTAAGACTTGCCCGTGGTCCTGGCGGTCCGCGCCTCCCAGGAGGTCCTGGGTCACCCTACAACATGAAGCCAAAGTCACATTGATTTAAAAACTTTAAACAAGGCAGGATTTACGTACCAAACTAGGTTGACTAAAGCTGATCACGTCTATTGCCGAGATTAGGAATGCTTTGTGGCTTGTCCTGAAGGTTTTTCGCCGGGTGCTAACAAAAGGAACACTTATCAAAGTGTCCCGGGTTGCTTCACATTTGTCGGAAGGAACCGTTTGAGATAAGAGTATTTTCAAGATCAGGAAACCAGCCGAACGAGATAGCGCTAACCATTTGCAATAGCCCTTATGTATGATGGCATCAGACGAGCAAATTTCACCACCAAGCCTCGCTTTGAAAACGCAGGTTGCAAATTTTATCGTGGACAAATTCCAAAAGCAGCAAAGATGAAAATAATACCATCGTGAGAACAACACGAAGGTACCTGAGGTTTGAGAAAATTCCTCGCAAACGAGGCTTGGTGTGAATTTGAGCGTGTGACGTAATATTATGTTTACCGTTGTGGGTGTTCTCACTGCCGTTATGCTTATGACGTAGTGAAAACAAAGCCTTACGTTTATACAGTTCAATTCACTAAGTCGCGTCACATAGTCACATATTTTATTGTAGTGAAAATTATTCACCTGTCTGGCTTGCGCCACTCCAGTGGTAATCATCGGGGCAACAACAGGACCCTTTTCACTAGACATAATCTGCACAAAAGAAAGCACAGTGAATCCTGTTAACTAGTATTTTTTACAATTTGTAACATAGGTAAAAAAATTTAAGAATTTTTACTACATAAAAATAGCTATTTTTAAAAAATAAATTTCTTGCTGCAATTGGTTTCATTTTGCTTTAAAAATTTGAAAAACTGATCCTTGCCAAAACTTGGAAACGTTAATTAAGTTCACCAACGTTGTTATCCACTCCCCATAATCTCTCCAATTTAACAGTAGTAGAAAAAAAAAAAATAAGAAAAAAATTGTTTACTACCGATCTACTGAGTGACCAAGTGAGTGAATTATTTCTTCCCCAACTAACTGCTATATATAACCCATTCTAGCTACGCAATCGCATGGTACCTCAGTTTATTATATATCACCAGTTTATTATGTCTCACTGAATAAAGCTATCGCATTGAGTCAAAATAGAGTAAGTTTGAAACAGTAAGCAACGAGTTTAAAGTGTGTTCATTTTATAATCTATCTTGATCCATCGTTAGACATTCTCATTTCCTAACGAGTTCCTGTAATTTGTCCACTACTGTCCTACACAATCAAACCATTACTGCTAAGTGTTCATGTTATCTAGCTATGAATTCCATTTCCAAATCCTAACCATCTTCACTTCCCAAATAGACTGTCCATCAACTCTCTATCTTGTCTTGTGTTCGTCCAGAACAAAGAAAGAAAAACGTTTGTGGACAGACTACTTCATAAGGGGTTCCTGCCAATTTTGAACTTTTCTTTTAATTAATGTCGGGTATTAGTCGTTTAATCTAGTGGTCGATGTTTTTTGAAAAAATTTTGAAACGATGCAAAGAAATGGAAACCATCAAGTGTTTTAGGTAACTGAACATCGTACCAAACAAACCTTACATTAGAAGGTCCCTTCTCCCCTGGGGGCCCGGGTGGGCCTCCAAATCCCCCTCCACCCGGAGGTCCTGGTGGTCCCGGGGTCCCGGGAGGTCCTGGATCGCCGGATTCTCCCTGTAAATCAAAACGAGAACACGAAAGTATTTTAAAAGACTTGGACGATGATATTAGTAAAGGTGTTGAGGTAAAATGCCACATTCTAACATGTAAGAACTCTGCAGGAAAATACCTTTCGGTAGCCAATTTACGAGAATTAGAAAATTCCTGTTAATTATTATTATTATTATTATTATTATTATTATTATTATTATTATTATTTTATGGAGCAGTTATCAAAGCAGCCTTAATAAACAAACGGTTACTTTGATCTAAGTTGAGAATCACGTCCTTCTTACAAGTAGTAAAATTGACAGTCTTTCAATTCATCAAATATTCAAAGAACTTTTCTTTCTCCTTGACCTTAAAGGGATCTAGCGCCTGGTACTGTTCTCTTTTTTGTTTGTTTGTTTCTTTGTTTGTTTGTTTCTTTGTTTGTTTGTTTTGCTTAAGTGTCTGTTTTTATAATTTCTACTTTGCTTCTGTTGTTAATCATGATAGACTCCTTCGTCAGGAAATATCACCTTCTCAATCGCGTTTATTTCTCTTGTTTGCTATGATCGTCCTTCAACTGCCGTTAATTCAAGTCAAAACAATCATGCATTCTGGCGATAAGATACTAAGCTCGGGCACTCGGCTTTACAATGTATTACGAAATGTTATGTTGCAGACTACCCATACAAGCGTGTGTGGGCTTCCTGTGGTTATTTAACATTTACCGGTTCTCCTTTTTCTCCTGGATTCCCTCTCGGTCCGGGGGGACCTTCAGAACCCTAAAAACAATTAAGCAAAAAGACTCTGTTACTTTGCGGAAGTTCTAAATAATTATTTGAAAGAAGTACCCTAAATGTTATGATACCATGTGCGCATGCAATGTTTCTGTCTGTTGGCTCCTGTAGACTGTTCACAGCCTCTCTATTTACGCACGCGAAAGAAAAAGCGAGCGGGAAGCACGTCGGGATAGGGGGTGGTGGGGTTTGCGAGCGGTCCCTACCCCCTACCCAGTCAAGTCTTCCGTTTCGCGCTGGCGTTTAGTTCTCTCGCGTTTCTGACCGCGCGTTCGATCATCGAATGAAAATACGAGAAAATAGAGGGATGTGAACAGTCTAGGCGTCTGCAGTGTTCAAATTAAATAACACTAAACAACTTGAAATAAGAGTCGCTATATCCAGAATATTAATTACCGGGGGGCCGGGTTCACCCGGATCACCAGGAGGGCCTACAATCTGAAAAATAAAACGTGAAATAGCGGGTAAATAAATTTTGGGATTATAATTTTTTGTAACTGAACGCAACTTCAGCGTGACAACTTTACCTATCATACACTGTATATCAAATTAAGATAAAAGCACAAACCAGTATTCATTACAAAAGTACATAACTTTAGTAAAGGAGTTTATGATATGAAAGGCAACAAATCACATAATGACATTTTTGACATTGTGTGATATTGGATTTATTTACTTCTTGATTCCTTTAAGCATATTGCCTAGGAATCAAGAAACTAGGTGTTCAGTTGTGGTCAATCACAACAGTACCTCCAACGAACAACAATATTTTTTTAGGAACTGAAACTAATTTACCATCTCATTTCAAGTACCTCGTTACTCAACCAAGACTAAAAAACTTGTGGACTACAGCAATGTATATTTATATATTTACCTGTTCGTGGTTTTGAAGATTGTCAAATGTTACGTTTTGTTACGTTATTCAACGCGGTGAGGAGCCAATGAACAGTGATTCCAAAACGGACACAAGAAATTAAACGGATTTCACACTTACCGTTGTCATTTTTTCAGCTACGAAGTAAAAACAAAAACATCAATGAGTCAAAAGTTGAAAAAAAAAACGTTTAATATCTATAGTAAGAGTATTACAGGAATAAAAATGTTTTTGATTAGCTGAAGTGAAATGAAAACCAATGAGGTTACGCAAAAACTGCCTTCGAAAGATTAATTTTCAAAGTGCTAGGTACGGAAAACGTAGTATTATATGAACTAGACCTCACCTGTTTTGGGTTTTTAGAAATATGATTGGCTAAAAAGACAGTATATCTATTCAAGATATTAGCAGATAATGCGGGCTTGTTTTTCAATTCAATATAATTCAATATAATATTGCATTATCTTTAAACGAAAGACACGGCAAATTGCAATTGACAAAAAAATACAAGTTAAAATAAAACAGTAAACATGACAGGCGCTACACCAAAAGCTTTTGGAGTTTTTTTTTTTAAAGACGACTCACTCTCCCCACCCTACCTCCTTTACACACTGTATCCGTGAGCGCTCGTAGGAGTGGTTGTAACTCCCCGGAAGAGGTTGCCATGAACACATTATTCTCAGCAGGTGGTGAGACAATCTTAACAAGGGTATCCACATCCGGGTTTTCACCGGTAGTAACGGCAAACAGATCGGTTGACTGGGCTTTTAAATTGACGGCCGCGTCTCCAACAGCGTCTGATGCCGAGAACTTCCCGGATGTTATTAGAACAACTGTCTAAGGAGAGATACCGTTTTAGCAAAGAACCTTTGATATTGTCAAACAAATATCCACTTTATGAAGGAAGAGAAATGATCTTTGTTGCAAATTCTTAATTTCCATACGATTTTGAGCGAACCTAAAGAAACGTTTATCTCGGAGGAGATCCCTAGGTTTCCACTGAAAGCGTCTAACAGCTAGAAGCATTGGTACCTTCTATTCTAGGTTACCTGAAAAGGACTGGTACCCATTTCTACAACTAGGTGCAGAAAGACACTATGAGAGTCATAATACAGGAAAAATAAATACAAGAAAAATTGCTTTAATAAAGGAAATGGCAAAATATCTGTCACCTTATTTGTACCATTCCTAGCTCCATTGCCATCCGCGTAAACCGTATTTAACACCTCCGTAAGCGCACTGCTCGTTGACACAGGACTTTCACTCCGAAAAGCGATTTCATCGATATCGTCAGTGATTGTTCTTGTGTTCAGCACAGGACCACTGTAGGAATTAAAACGCACATGGACCACAGGACCACTTCCATAGCTCACAACAGCCACGTGAGTACCTCCTTCACGGATATCGAATGCGGCGACGAATTGCTTCGCGAAATCTTTCGCCTCATTAAACTGTTCTTCACCGATCTGCGCTGAATTCTCCATTACTATTGTCAAGTCAAACTCTTTGTTACAAACTGAAATATAGCAAACAAAAAATGGTCATTTTAGTCTTAGCTTTCGAAAAAAACCGCAAAACAAAAAAACAGAAGTAAAGGATTACGGTAGGGTGTGAAGGTTTGTCTTAAAAACTGGACCCCTAAATTACAAAGTAACTGACTGGAATCTGCGAAGTTTGTACACCTAGTCAAATGTTAACCACTCATTTCTTGCCGAAACAGCAATCAGACAGCGCACATGCAGTTTCTACCAACAGTGTTCCAAAGTGACGCCGCTGTGGAAATAAACATTTGTCTCAAATTATGAGCTCCTCTAGTTTCAAGTCCAAAAATAGCCATTTACAATAATATGAAAGTTTTGTGCCGTGAAAAGATTTACAAACTTTGCAATTAGGATTGTGTTTTTTATTATTTGACCTCTGCGTCACAAAGAGTACGTACAATTACTGAGCAGTAACCATAACGAGAATCAAGGCCTCGACAAAACCTCAGCCACATTCTTAACATTATATTCTCGAGAACAGCAGAAACGCAAGGTGATTACCATTCTGTGGGTCGGTGCAGACTTGAAAACAGCCTGACAGCGGATCCAAACAGCACTTGGACTCCCCGGGACAGTCCCAGTCATAAGTCTCAGCGGCGCCACCTCCGTTTGCAGACAGACCACACAGAGTCGTCTCCTCAGGGTCGGGCTCTGCGGCCCGGCATAACAGTGGGTCCGGTGGCGCATCAACAGGCGGACATTTCCCAGGCTTCTCTAGAAGGAGAGTCAAGAGGTAAAATACATTACTTGCCAAAATTTTCGGACGTTAAAATTTCGGATGCCTTATCTCGGACGTTTAATCTTCTACACTTTTTAGCTCATTTCGGAAAAACTTTGGACAAAATTATCGGACACTTAGAAATATAGCTAGCGTAAATTTACGCCTACAAACATGTTTTAGACTGAAACAACATCTGTGAAAATGATATGTTTTTACTGCACCATCAAGATTTTTGCAGAAAAACCGACGAAATTTTCAGCCAGAGTTCGCTCCATAAAGGAAACTAGCCACTTTGAAACTGTTTATAGGCTTTTAAAATTTAAACTGTACTGTAAATATTTCGGACGCTGCTCGGTAAGAAGATTGGCAGAAGGCGGTGGGCTTTCATCAGAGCAGCTGAAAGTAAAAGTTATTCACCCCGGCCGTCGGAAAAAAGCGGTGAGTTAAGCGTGGTAAAATGAGATAGTTTAACACAACCTTTTCGCTCAGAAGGTGACAACAAATACAAGGAAATGTCTTTAGCCGAGCGCTGGTAAAACATGTTCCAGTTCTCATGCACGTGATGCTGTAGTATGCTTTCGTTCTCTTCATTCTTAAGTCATCTATAATACCTTCGTCGGGGGCCATTATTATTTTTTTTTAACGCCGTACTTCTTTAAGTAGCACCGTTAATGAGGTGCATATAGCCTACATGCTCTGAGCGACCGATCAAAGGGCATTTTATAAAAAATCTGCAAGAAAAAGAAAGGTCAATTCATTTTCGTGAAAGGGCTTACCTGAACACATCTTTCGGGACAGATCTTTTAACACCAAGTCGCCTAGTTTACCTGGTTCTTCTGCTTTGTAGACAAAACGTCTATCGCCAGCTAGTTTTTGCATAAACTCCTCAGGGACATCACGATTGGTTCCTATGGCAACAATGGTGACGCCTAAGTCCCGTAGCTGTTTACCAGCGCCCTCGAGAACACTGAAATTGGCCGTCGACTCATCTGAGCTAACAAATAAAAGGTATCGAGGGTGTCCATGTCGCATTCCACCTTGTAAACTAAATATCTCATCTTTGATCGTTTCTAGTGCAATGTCGACCCTACGCTCAGAGTCGACGCGTTTCCCCATGTTATCTATGAGGATTTCCAGCTGGATTTGGTCGCGGTACTTGCGAAAGTCTGTAAGCACGTTGGCACTAGCACCGTATTCTAGTAAAGAAAAGCGAATTTCCGGGCTGGGAAACCGTCGGACAAGTTGCTTAAGGAAACGTTTGGTGTTGTCGAAGTCGCTGGTTGTTAGGGAGTCTGAGTTGTCAACAGCAATGGCAATATCCACTGGAACAAAGCAGTCTGTTGAAAGGAAAAATATATATTTTTTTAAAGGGTCATGCACAGAAAAATCACGAAAGTTGTCACTTCATCATGATATGATCAGGTGCTTAGCAACTTGGAAACGAACTGGGGGTCAGTCCAGTCTCAGAGACCGGTTTCGCCATCAACTGGTTATTGTTCCCAAGATCGATTTAACAAATGCTTTGACATGCACATAGTCTCACTTACGTGAATATTAATACACAACATTTTTATTTAGATAGCAAAAACCTGACAGATCGGATGGTCAGTTGCTTGATGAGGCATTTAAAAGTTAAAAGTTATTCGACGTTTCGACGCATCGAGCATCATTATCAAGAATGAAAATTCGTTAAATGTCAAAGGTAAGTTTTGAATATCATTTAGACGGCATTCCTGGGTACGTGATCATGCCAAAATGTTAATAGATATAGCTTCGCGCGAACCGTCATCATCATCATCATAACTTATTGGGAAGTAAATGACTTACTACTGATTCGACCGAAACACGTTCGCCCGCCACAGTTGTCTACACAACACAATGGCGTTTGTCCACCATCAAGCATACAATCGGCATCCACGTCACATTCGTTCTCAGAACGTTCTGGACAGCTCAGCGGAGGAGGAGGAAGAAGCGGGCACTTGCCAACTTTACCTACAAGGACCAAAACGTGCTTAACAGTATGCGACCCTAAGGCAGCTTTATAATTCTTATTCTTAGTTAAGTTTGATCTAGTTCAAGGTTTTTTTAATAGTTTCGTAAATTTGCAGTTCCTTACGTCCATCAACTGTTGATGTTCACTTTTTTATCTTCCTTTAAGGCTTGCTTGTTTGTTCGCTTTTTTTAGCTCGTTTCATTGCTTATTTGCTTATACGTTTTGTTTCCTTATCTGTTTGTTTGTTTGTTTTCTCGATTTTCTTTTTTTTGTTTGTTTGTATATTTGTTTGTTTGCGTGCTTGTTTACTTGTTCCCTTCTTTGTTTGTTTGTTTGTTTGTTTGTTTGTTTTGTTTTATTGCTTGTTTGCCTGTTTGTTTGAGTTATGATATATCAGTTCCACAGCACACATGTTGCTTCTGCTTAACTTTGCGGCAACGGAACGTTTCGTTGAACAAAAGATCTTGCGATCTGTTCTGTCATTTCAACAGCGATATTTCTCATTTCTTACAGAAGAAACTAAAAATCATTCAAGCAAAAATAAAGAAGGTAAAATTCGATCCCCTCTCTACTCCTCAAATGGTTTAACTTATGGTTTTTTACCGTTGTCGAAAATTACCACTAAAAAAACTAGTTCACGACAAAAATGAAAAGTATTCTTTACCACACAAATTACCTTTACAAATCACCTCTGCAACGTCTCTACTCTTTGTACTAAGATCATTGGGATTTGGAACGTTGTAAAAGAACTTTGACGGCGGTTGTGTTGAGGCGAGCTCGTAAAGGTTCTGATTAATACTTCCACCAACTCCAACAGTAAGCAGCCTCACTCCCAGGCTCTTCAGTCTGGCTGCGGCAGATAGCACCTTCTGTTGACTGCTTACAGAGCCTTCTGGGACGATAAGTATAAATGCTTTGGGTTTGGACTGCCGTACACCGCCATAGATGCTGAAGGTGAAGCGAAAAGCTTCATCCAATGCAGAAACCACATTAACTTCCCTGCCTTGCTGTGTCAACTTATTTGTGAAGTCTTCCAGAACATCTTTTGAACTCAGCCGATCAATCTTCAGAGTTGTCGATGCAGATCCACTATAAGTGACGAAACCCACGTGTACCTTCATGGGACTCACATCGAATGATTCGATAACCTGGCTCACAAAACTTTTGATGCTCTCAAACTGATTGGGTCGAATGGTCTGCGAAGTTGGAATTCCAAATACGACATCAACAGGTTCAGAGCAAGCTAAAAGAAATTGCATTTTGTTTTAGGTACAGTGGAACCCCGTTAATACGGTCACCAACGGGCCATGAAAATTTGGCCCTATTAACTGACGGGATGGCTGTATTAACGGGGTGGCCGTATTAATGATTAATAATCATGACTGATCAAAACTGAGTAACGTCTTAACAGATATATAACAATTGCACTTCTAAGCAACTTTTCTTTACTGATAAGCATGAGAATGTAGATACAATTAGTAAACAAATTGAAACTTCAATCAGTACATACAATATTAACAACGGAGAAATGAACATAATTGGTTTAAGTGGCCGCATAAACGGGGTAAAATTACAAAGGATTATATAGGTTGGGATTTCAGAATGTGGCCGCCGGTCGAATTAACGGGGTGGCCGCAGTAACGGGGTTTTTCTTAAAAGAAACTGTATGGGCTTTTCGCCGGGACCAAACGAAGTGGCTGTAATAACGAGATAACCGTATTAACAAGGAGACCGTAAGGCGGGCTTCAACTGTAGTCGCAAAGCATCTAACCTCTCTCATTTCAGCGTCACCTTTGTCGTCATAACCACCATGTGAATAAGTCACAGTGATAGTGAAATTAACAAATAATGAATTGGGGTAAAGAGATTGATATTCGAGCTTAAATAAAGTTTATGTATGTATGTATGTATGTATGTATGGCGTAAAGAACTAAAAACTTCGCCGTTGTGGTTCCTTTCTCTGTGACACAGAATTTGGTCATTTCACATTGATGTTAGCAAACGATTACTACGGAAATTCTAGCGCGCACTTGCAGTTAGCAATGTAGTGGACATTGCTAACTAAAGCTTTTGTCTGCAACGTTCTCGTCCCCGCTCTAATAGGGAGTTTAACTGAAAAGCGAGAAGGAGTAAGAAAAGGTTTCGTAAGCAGCGGAAGGCACTTCTTTATCAGGACATAGTTATTAGAGGGAATGATTAAGAAGCCCGGTCAACATCAAAAAAGCAAACAAACAGGCTAAGATTTATGTTGGAAGGTCCTTGACCCAGCACATCTTTTGTTTTATGCTCTTAGACTATAAAAGAATTACATAATCGCAATGCTTCTTCTGGTTAGTTGTATGAGCACACATGACCACCAGTTGTATTTTGCCAGGTTTTGTGCAGGGTTAAGCCTCCAAAATAGCCAACAAAAACATTGAACAAAGATCTTTGCCACGTTTCAAAACCATTTTCCTCCATTAACTACGGCCAGTAGAACTAGTTGCAAGAGTGATTTCTAGCTCACCTAGGCACTCGCGCGTAGTAAGGTCTCCCACCACATCCAGTATCTGATCGAATACTTCGGCGACGTACAGATTACTTTCGTCGGAAGCTATGTTCAACAGCTGAAATGGGTTAACGTTATTTCCGATTCCAAACGCCAGGACCTCAATGCCTTTGTCGTGTAACAGTCCTGCTGCACGAATTAGATTTTCCTCTGCTTCATTTGGACTGGGCTCTGGAGTTTGAGTACCGTCTGTTAACACCAGGGCCATCTACAACGATCAAAATTTCCATGTTAGTGAAGGAGCAAAAAAAAAAACTGTACAATATTTAGAGGGAAGGCCACATCAGCCTTAGCTGGTCCTCTATCCAGGTCGAATTGGAATTTAGAGATGATGTTTTTTTTTATGGAGGGAGGAAAACCCGCGTACCCGAAGGAAAACCCTCGGAGCAAGGCAAGAACCAACAACAAACTCCACGCCATTAGGCAAAGGAAAATCACCTCGCCATTAGGCAAAGAAGGCTCTTGTGTTACTCTGGTAGCCTGTGTACTGACAATGTATAGATTGCAAGCATTTTCCCTCTTTTCATCAGAACCGCTAGAAGAACTTCCAGTACTTTATCACTGATAAATCGAGGGTAAAATGCTTAGGACAAGACGATAGAAGGTTCTTGGGGTAACGCAGTCTAGCTAAAACACCCATGGTAAGACCAGTTGCATTTACCGTACCCAAATTCGCCAAAGAATCTGACCATATGCGTTCACTAATTTAACATCACAGGATATAAGCACAGAAAACAAGGCTTTTGATTGGCTAACTGCGAATGTAGAAACGGGAATCCTAGTAATTAGGGACTGACGAAAATGTCCCTTGGAAATATGGTTCACCTGTTTGACGCCTGGCCTCATACCAGCTTCCGGGGTGAAAATTTCCTGAAACGCCAAGATTAATGCTTTGTCAATGAATGTTTGCCCTCCAGACTGAATTATTTCCTCCACTTTTCGCTTGACATTCACAGCATTGAGTTGTGCATCAGTAAAGTCGTTAAATCTGAGATACACTTTGGGTTCGCTACTGTACTCAAGCAGGGCGAAGTGGCTTCCACTAGGGGAAACATCAAAGGCGCTGATGGTTCTCTTGACAAATTCTTTGATCCGGCCCCAGTTTGTTCTGGAGATGCTTCCTGAGCCATCCAAAATGAAGGCAAAATCCACGGAAACAGGACAGGAGGCTACGAAGTTGAAACAAAAGCATGGCTTAACCCTTTGAACTGTGCATTGATAGCTTTTTGACCTACGTAAAAATGTTACAGTACAACCTTTCACATTTTCTTTTTCCTGCAAAACTAGAAGCTGCGCTCATTTGCATTGCTACTTTTAAATTTTGTCATCGTCAAATAAGAAGACAGTCAGACAACACTTAAATTATAAAATTTCTTGAATGCAGCTCCCGTCAATTACATTTCTAGAATACTTGTTGCGCAAACTTGCACCTATGCTTCAATCCCTATCTTGTTTGTTTGCTTGCTTGTTTTATTTTTGCCATTTCTAAATATATTTACAAAATATTAATCTTTAAGGCAAAAGCCCAGGGAAGTTAATAACGCTTATGTAAAAGACTACCTAAAGATACCTATGGCCTATATGCGTGGATTGATGTTATATGAATTGAAGTTTCATACTTTGTGGTTCAGGTTCTATGCACAACAGTTGACAAGCCTCGTCGTCGAAAGGTGAGGGGCAACACTTGCGGCCAGCGGAACATTCCTGGTCTGACAGGCACTCATTGTCTACATCCATTGGACACTCCGCACCGTATTTGTTCACTTTAGGACACACAGTGTTCTCTGTAAAGAAAGAAACGAGGTTCACTAGATAGGTCTGCCGGTTCATTTGTTTGTTTGCTTGTTTGTTTTTTTGTGATTAACAATTAGATTATGAGCTCGAGATTTCTATGAGGTGATAGTTGATCAGGCCGAAAGCCGAATCAGCTATTACCTTGTAGCAATCGAGAGCGAATAATCTAATTGTGTTCATAGAATCCTTACTGATAAATAACGACAAATATGACAAATAACTGTTTACAATTACTTCTCGACGTATTTTTATTTAACTTTGCGCCTTAGAAAGATCGCCCGGATCATTTTTTCAATAATTTCAAGTTTGTTAAAGTCAAGAAACAGTTAATGTCCTTCGTTTAGTCTTCTCAGGAATTTAATTATCCATTTGCATCAAAACGTTCCTTCAAAACTTTGGAGAAACGAAAAAAACGTCGCCATTTCGTGGACAACCTCCAGCCACTGCACACTAATGGCTGATAGTGTACGTTCACTCTGCCAATCAAATTGCAGCATTTGCATTGGTGTTCTAATACATGATTGCAAAGAAGCTTGTTTATTAGATGGGAGATAACGAGAGCGGATTCACGGCAAAGAACCAAAGCAGTGGTGACCATTTGTCAATTTGACACTGTTTATTGTTAATGATTGAGCAGTTGTTTCTGGTTTTAAAAAGCGATGTCGTTATTAAATGTGCACATTTTACATGTAAGGTTTGATTTCCTTGAAATAACAACGTAAAAATATACCACAACTCAGCAAGGTGCTCGTACACTGGCCATGGGATGAAAACTGAGGGTTTTCTTCTTACAGCCCTCGTTGAAGTGAGGGTCAGCTGGTATGTTCTTCTTGTATGCATAATTTATATTCCTCATAGATGAGGATCATGTTTGAAAATATAATGGTCGCTCCGTGTTTAATAATCCAGTTTTGCTCTTTAATGAGTAGTAAAGAGTGACTTAGAACTGAGGCTAACGAACTTGTAAACCTTCTACCAATTGATTGCTGTGTTTTCATAGTTGTTTGTTAATTTCTGTTTAGCAGTTGGTGGAATCTGTTTTTTCACCAAAAACAGGTGGTAAATCTGTTAAGAAGAGGCATCGAGAACTGGTTCTAAATTTCCCTTTTCCACCCTCACGGTTGGGATATTT